CGCACTGGCTCCAACTACGGGACGCCACCACAAACTCGACGTCGTCATAGCGGTGCGACACGTCATGCAGGGCGGCTTGGATGGCACCGTCCAGCCTCTCCTTGGACCTGAAAAGATACTCGGCGACTCCGAACCACATACGGAAGATCGGTGTGGCCGCGAGTTCCAGATGTAAAAATGGATTGACGCCCAGGCGTGCCCAACAGTCCACCATAGCGAGCAGTGAGAGGTGTGAGTTGGCCAAGGGACGGCTGCCGTTCGCGTTCGGATCCTTCTTTCCCAAGCTAAATCGGTCCAGTATATCCTCGGACAGAAGGATGGGATTCCGCGCAGAGGTCTTCCCGTCGCCAAACACGATGTCGCGTGCCTTGTACAAGCGGTCACGAAGCCCTTCCTCGTCAGCAGCAAGCATGAGCTTGAATATGTCTGTCGTGCTTTGTGCATACTGTTTGATTTGGACCCTGGCCGAAGGATTGAGGATTGCCAGCCCGGCGTAGACATGCCACTTGTTCGAGAAGATCCGTAACATGATGTTGACTTTGACAGTTTCGATCCCACCCACATAATACCCATTCTCCCATGGGTACGACGCGGCACTTGACCATGCAGTTCCCATGCTTTTCTGAGAAATCAGATCACGAACCTGTCTGGCGGTGACAGCGAACGTACCTGAGGAAGGCGGCGTGAGTGACAGCCTGTGTGTTGGCGGTCACCTCGTCATGCTCCTCGTATGACATGTAGACATAGCGCGATTGCAGTGGCCGTAAGACATTCTCGACCAGAGTCAATGCTTCGTCAGGGGCTCTATGTTTGATCAGGACCTATATGATGCAAATTAGCCCGTTCCCCGGCCATGAAGTAAAAGAGACGCACCAGCGGTTGGCCTTTTGTTTGGACAGTTGGGCCGTGTAGTGAATGGCATGAGACTATATGCACGTCCTCTGGGAGGTGCCGCTCGAACGCAGCACGTTCGGGCGCCTTGACGGATGTCTGACCAGCGACGACCGCTCCGACCTTGGTGGCTTCCAACAGTCAACACACGGACAAACGTCGTGCGGTCAGTACTCACAAGGCCCGTACTGAGCGACGACGCTGTTGATGAACTCCGCCTCTACGGAGTAGATGATGAAATCCGAGGTCCGAGAGACGTAATGTCCGTCGCGGAGAACGGTAATGCCAGGGGTGCCTGAAACATCGTGGTTGGGTCGGCCCTCGATCGTATTCAGACGGATCGAGGATGGCAGGAGACACACCTTCATACGCAGCCTTCAGCGACTCATACATCTCAGGTAGGTCGCACACATGGATCCTGCGAAAAACTCAGACAAGCTCGCAGAATAGATGTACTGCCAACTCACTTCTTCCATCCTGCAGCCGACAGACATTTGGCATACATTTTGCCCATTGCGCCCATGCCAATGAGCCCTATGGTGGGCTGCTCGTCCACAGGAACGTCTGGTGTCACATCGGAGCGCACCATGGCGGCAAAAGGACGTCTTTGGCGAGAGTCTACGTGGTCGCGAATAACACCGAGTGTGTTCGGCGCAGAAAGTCGGGGAGATTGACTGGTGCCATCAACGAGCCAGCGAGTCACTCCGAAAGCTGAGCCACTCGACCGGCCAACTGCGATCCCGGGACAAACGGATAACGCAATCTAATCTTCACTCGATATAAGATCCGGCGGAGTCCAGAGACGTCGGCCCAGCGGCCGAGCTGGAGACTGCTGGAGACGGCTGTTCAAGTCTGTTCAAGTTGACATTCTGTTTGAGCGCTGGCACCTGAGGACTCAAAACCAGAATAGCATTCGGTATAGGCGATGGACCAGTATATAATCCATAAGTCCGTACAACACAGCACAACAAACCGAACGAAGGTCAAGACATCAGAGCGATCCACAGGCTATGAACGAGATATGTTCTGATACTGCAACGACGCAGAGTCGTATTCCTTCTGGAATATACGATGTCTTTGGTTCGTCATATACCTGAAGGTCATTATCAGGATTCGCAAGATAATGAGGATGACCATGTCACTCACGTCATGAGCTCTGTCACGTAGTCCCTCACCAGGCCTACACTCTCAGGATCCATCGTGGACCCTGCCACCATCGCGGGCAGGCTCACTGTGGACACCATCAGCAAGGGTTCAAAGGAACGGCTTATAAAAACAAACCGATCATTCGTAAGAGGTGCTCGGCGCCGTAAATGGCGCTCATTTCGCGCTCTTGGCTGACCTGCACGGTCGGACCCGTCACATACCGTTTGCGCATATCGGCGTACTGCGGCCGCTCAAAGCGGTATAGGAGGTTGGACCCCAGTGCGCGGTCGAAATACACCTGCAGGCCAGATACGATGGTTGGGAGTACCACTTGTGGGTCACGGAGGCTAGACGGAAAGATCGATGAGACTTCGCCGAAAACTGCAAGGAGTAGGCTCTACTTGGGCGAGGGGTTGCTGAGGATGTGTTCTTTGAACTCCTCCAAAATTTCGACAACCGTTGGACTTCGTGGTAAAGTCACCAACTGGCGCGCCACGTCAGCGGGGATGTGATGAGCCAGAATTCCTCAGCGCACCTGATTGTTCTTCGTCACCGCCTCCCAATCGTCGACGAGAAGAACTTTTAGTGTCTCCGGGACGACTAGCCGCATTTCTGGTCGCCTCGTCCCATCGTCATCGTCACGGCCCCTCTTCGTGCCACGTCCGCCCTCCTTCCGCCGCCCTCCTGCTACCTGAGCGCCACGGGTCGAGGTAGAGGCCTTCGAAGCAGAGGCACTGGCCGAAGTGGCAGCAGCCTGGGCGCGAGACAGGTCCTTCTGGAGCGAGATATTTGTTTCATTGAACTTCAAGAGACGCGCTGTGGGGACCCACTCGTCCCACCTGAAAAATAGCACAGAGTCAGAGAGTTGAACATCTAGAGCACAGAGGGAACGCACGTCTGCTTCCAGCCCTTGTAGTGTACGAAGTAGTGCGGCCCTACAGTGTCCAGTTTCGTGTTCGTTTCGTCCCAGACCTCGCTTTTCAGCACCTTCGCCTCGTAGATGAGAGGCCCATGATAGCAGAGCACGCGCTCACCAACGGCAAAGGTCGCCGCGGACATCACTGGCTGCAAACAAACCCGGAGGCCAGTGTTAGCTGTGTGAACCGGCGGCGCGCTTCGGATACGTACGTTTTCAAAATGCGAGCGGCAAACTAGCTGGCGGATCCAATGTGGACGTCCCTGTTGATGGCGACGGGGTCGCGAGCGGAACGTCACTTTCGGGGGTGCCGGTGAGAGATGGGCTGCCAGATGCTGACGCAACGCGCACTGGGCACGCTGAGTTTGTTTGCAATTGCACACTTCAGGTTCAGGTAATTGGCATGTCCGTTCCCCGAACAGCCGAGCGCGCACGTCTTCTCGAAGGACCTTCGGACATCATTCGCAATATACACTATGTAACAGTCTAAGGGTAAATTGCACAGATCTCTGACCATCATACATGTTATGAGACTACAAGTCCTTCCCCCTTTCCATCGACCAACACTAGTCTAGCTTTCTCCAAGACTCGAACACCTCCAGCTGGGGTCTCGAATGCTCCGGTAGCACCATCAGCCCCGGATACGAATTCACCAAGTGCTCGACGAACTTTCATCGCCCGAGGGGCAGCGCAGTACACCTTAATGTAATCCATCTGCGTGAGCCGTGTCTCTAAGCCACCAACGACAGGGGTTGGTGACGAGGGGTCAGAGGTCGTCGCTTGGGCTGCTCCACCGCTGGAAAGACGAACTGGCATTGCAGGAGCCGGGCTTTCTTGGTTTGACCGACTAGGTTGCCGTGGAGCGGTGGTGAAAGAGAGTGAAAAGGGCCCGGTTCCAGCGTCGGGATTATTCGAGCACGAGACCAAGTAATCCCAGAATTGACGAAGTGAGCACCGTGTCCAGACAATCCCACCCTCCGCTGAGCTTCCGGGGAGCGAGCCATCTTCGGCTACGACAGCTCGAGAGGCGTACCTCCAACGGGCCGATCCGCGAACCGGTATGAACCACGCAACACGGGAATAGATAGACGAAAAGACGCGTTCGACTGATTCGATCGTATGGGGTGGTACGGGCAAGATAGGCGAACGAAGGCCGGCAAGAGCTTCGTTCACAGCGGATGGCGTGATACTGGGAGACGCAGGAATGTAGTGAGGCTTCGCAGTACGTCGTAAGCAAGCAGAGCATGGCACTAAGTAACTCAAATACCAGTGGTATGAGTTCTTCCAGGGGTTCCATGTCCAGCTTGATGCGCTTGGCCGGAGGCTCAAGGGAGCCGATGAATGCGGCACGACTGCTGCCAATAGCGGCAACGGCTGAAGCATCACAGGCCGAGATCGAGTGTAAAGAGGTGACTGCACGAGATCGGGTGTGTTCGAAAGGCTCCAAACCTGCGGTAGAGAACACTTCGATCTCTAAAGGAGGCGCACCCCAGACTTCTACGCTGGTAACGGAGACGCGCGAACGCGAAACCAATGGGGGGGCGGGCGCATACAAGAACGCATTCTCAGAGGCGTCTGGGCCTTGGCGTCAGATACAGAATCTCAGCACGCTCAAAGACGCACTGACATCGCCTCGGGTGTTGGCGGGCGGGGGTCTGCCACCCGGCCTTCCCGAATCCCGCACGGACAAGCAGGCGGCCTTCAGAAAGAAAGGTGGCGTCGTCGCCGATCGTCGTAGATGCCCGATCCGATTGTTGAGTGTGTCTCTCCGGTGCATGGGAGAGTGCGTGGACAGTGATTATGTTGTCGCCCATGAGTAAGAATCACCAGAAGGGACGTGGGAGAGCGGGTTGTGAGGCTGGAAGTTTGCCTGCCATGTGGGCCAGAGAAAGGCGTGGCCTTTCAATGGGTGTAGGTCGCGGCTTCCCCAATGATTAATGATTGTCGGAGGGTTGAACGAAGAGCTGGAAGAAGGGTGACCGTCGTCGACAGCATCGGGTGCCTATTGGTTCAGTATGTGGAGCAATGAGGATGAAACGCTTCAACAGCCTTCTTAGCTCAGTGGTAGAGCGCGTCACTAGTACTGGCTTTAAATAGCGAGTGCGGTTGACATGACGAGGTCAGTCGTTCAAGTCGGCTAGGAGGCATTATTTTTTCCATTTTTCAAAAGAGTATCGCCACCGCATGTCACACTCAGCCAGTCGATTTTACTTTTCTCACATCCTGGAGATTCAGCCCTGCAACGGGCCAGATATGTTGTCCGCACGCAGCATCGACATCATAGGACCATATAAACTACGATAATCATCCCCTACAACATATTCTAGAGGAAAGGTAATAGTAACACATTATACGATGGCAACACAAGAGCAGATTAGCATAGACGTCGACGTCGATCCGGGTCATTATATATCGTTAGATGGGTTCAACCTCGAGTGTACATTTATTGGTCCTTCTTCGTTTCCTCATCGAGTGATAGAGAGGAGTTGTCTCTCGAAATCGCGCCTGCCGATAGCGGTTTGCTGACAAGCAGTGGTGACACGGGCTCGGATTCCGTCTCAGACGGGGCCATCGTCGGGCTCGACCGCTGGGATTTGCTCTGGGCTTCTGCAAGTTCCTTCCTGAGTGCTTCCAGCTCCCGCTCGAATCTGTGGACAAGGTCAGCGGGGAATTGCCACGACACAACTTGTACGCACTTTCGTCCGAACACTTCGATATAGAAGCCACCCCCGTTCCACACACTGACGCTGAGAATGAATAGCAGGAATGCCCCTGACCAGAAGGCCGAGTCGTAGAGAACGAAGACAGAGGGGACTTCCGTGAGCACCGAGTAAACTGAAGGGGCAAAGAAAATCCCGGTGTCAATCAGACTGGCAAGGCTGGACGAAAGGGCCTAAATTACCAAATTGCCCCAACATAAAGTAGATGGCCCTGTGCTCAGGTTTGACCTTGGCAAGAACATTGCCAATGAAGCCACGTTTGTTGTTGATCATCCACGACAGCGACGTTGTGCGCTGTCCCGACTCAATCTTTTTACGACGATCGATATACACGAACTATTATGGCAGTGAGTGTCTGAAACGATAAGGTGGGACGCGCGCCAAACCTTCCAGTATAGAAGCTGCCATACGAGGTCTTGCGTAACGCGTTAGACAGGAACCGCCAGATAAGTAGTGAGGACCACTTACAGATAACACTGCTCAGCAAAAGCGCGCGCCAAGGCTGGAGATGGGGTAGCTCCTTGAGCGCCGGGAACCGCTCCTCCGCGCCGGGGTAGAAGTGCCTGTGGAGCCCACGACCATCAGAAGGCCCCTATAGGAAATGGAGCATAACGTACCGTATCACAGTGAAAGTGAAAGGCGCATACACGTGTACGAACAGACTGGTCACCTTGTCCGCGTCGTGGAAGACAAGGCTGTTCCGCCATGTGATGACAGCGCTGGCGAGAGACCCTTGGCTGAGGCAGTAGCATGCAACGAACAGGGAGGGGGATTGCGGGAGTATCCAGATGAATACAAAGTTCAGGATGGTGACATAGTAGCAGAGGTCGAAGAGGAAATAGTGCCACTTCAGTTTCTTGTATGTGTAATAGCGATAGGGTAGGAGGTAGAGTGATTGCAAGGTGTAAGAAATGTGAACGTATCTAGAGAGATGTCAACAGGAGGAGATCAGGCGAGCAAGTAACTCACTGCGGAGCCAAGCCGAACATGAGGGCGGAACAGACCAGAGACATGACGCCGAAGAAGAAGCTGATCTTTTCTCGTGTCCGGACGACCTTGGCGGATTGCCATGCTGCCGACAACGACACCATGCGTGTTGACACCTGCATGGTCTCAGCGACCGGCTAAAATAGGTGGTTGCGGGGGCACACACCTTGAGTCGCAGCTTCACGACCTCACGCTCAAAGTTCTCTGCGAGCGCGTCGGGGCTCGGCGGTTTACCCTTGAATATATCGTTGAGAGCGAGCTCAGCACGCATTTTCAAGTTGTCTTTGCGCTTCGATATGTTGCGCTGCAGAAGATCTATGCGCGAGTCCCAGTACGTCTCCATCGTATCTGCAAGACGATTGAGTGTGAGCATGGCATGGCGGAGGTAGCGTGACGGGAGAGGGAGAAGCAAAACTTGCCTAGGAGTGTGAAGGCGTTGGCATATTCTGAGCCTTCCTCGCGGACGAAGCGGTCTAGGTTGAGGGAACTTAGGTAGCCCATTGGAAAGAGATTAGGAGAATCCGGGCGAGAAGAGGGAGAAGGTGGTCTTGAAGGCTCTGAAGACATTGTGGCTCATGGACAATGTGGATGTGGAAGTGTGGAAGGGAACAGAGGAGGCCGCGAGGCAAGGCGGGATGTGGAACCAATCGAGACAAAACGCGTCCGAGGCTACGTCGGACGCGGTGCCATGACGAGACTTGGTTAGTCAGCACCACCAGGCCATGATTCACATGCTCAAGCTTCAAAATTCAAAATTCAATGATCAATCGATCATCCGTCGACACGTCCTCATTTAACTACATCTGTCTGTACCGAATCATGCATATGCATACAATCCCAATCATTAGTACGAGAATACTATCCAAGTAAGAGTCAGGCCGTGGTCGTTATCCTACATCGCACCCCACTGGCCACCCCCCTGCCCTGCTGCATACCCACTCGGCTGTGTCATCCAGCTGGTGAAGGGATTCCCCGTAGCAGCCCCTGCAGGCTGCATATTCGCTCCAAAAGGGTGCTGCTGGTACGGACTCTGCGTTGATTGCTGGAATTGCATCTGAGACGGCTGTTGAAACGGAGATTGAGACGGTTGCTGGAATGGGGTTCCTGCAGTGTTGAAGGGTACAGGCGACGGCGTGGTGGACAAGAACGGCGCCTGCGGTGGAGGAGACAGCATCCCCTGGGTCCGTGCAGCACTGTTGTAAAACGGATTTGCTGCAGGCTGGGTGAATGTCGGCTGCTGGACCTGCGGCGCCTGGGCTTGCGGGTTGAAGGGCGAAGACTGCTGAGGAAGTGATGAAGAGAACGGTGATGTAGATAAGAACTGGTTGAATTGCGGGACCTGGGACTGCTGCTGAGCCGCCAACTGCGTGAACGGGTTGATGGTGCCCTGTCCGGTCATGTATGAAGGCTGCATCGACTGCTGCATCTGAGGTTGGAATGGTGAGGGGCCGGAAGCTCCAATCGCGCCCAGGCCACCCGCTCCTGCGAAAGCGCCAGTGCCCAGGCCTGAACTCAAACCGGCCGAACCCATACTAGGAGACATGCCTGAAGCGAACGCCGTTCCGAGGCTGCTCCCTCCCATAGCTGGATTCATGCTAGCACCAGGGTAAGACGTCGAAGCGAGGCCGTTGTTTGGAAAGGACACAGATGGCGATGGGGTCGTTGCCATATACTGCAGTGGCAAAGTTGAAGTCTGCGCCAAACCCTGCAGCGCAGCTAGGTCGGACCATACGCTTCCGGGTGGTGGTTGTGGGGGCTGCGGCCGAGATGAAGGTGGTAATGGCTGGGAGATTGAGCGTGTTGGCGCAGTGGCAACCGGTGGTGCGCTCGGAGGCATAGTCGGAGCACGAGTGGGAACCACTGGAGACGAAGTAGCAGGTGCTAGCGACTGCTTGTTCGGGGGCAGTGTTTGCGACCGTGACGGGTTTGAAGCAAACGACGAAGATGATGCTGAGGATTTGACGGATGCTACTGAACGGGATGGTCCCAGGTGAGCCGCAACAATCGCGGAACGTTCTGCGCGATTGATGAAGCGCTTATATTCATACTTGTCTAAGGGTTACGCTTAGGTTGATCGCCAGAGCATCATGAAGCGTACACCACCTACCGCGGATGAACTTCTCCAGCTCGCTGTCACGTTCTGCATCCACCATGTTCGTTGGGGGCGGGTTTCGAACCTCGTCTGGGTTATACAACTGATTTGACTTGATATTTCCCGTTTGCCGCATCATCTGTACACACCTACTTCAAGAACTGCGGATCTGCAACTGAGCACTTCGTACCTCCACCTGCTCCTTGGACCAAACATCCATCGTAAGGCTCTTCCTAGAATATACACGTATAAGCAAGAAAAATGCGCAATCCTTGCATACAGTGCATACACTTTGGTGATATGTGTTCCAATCTTCCGGTGGATACTCGCGCAGTTCACACTGTATATCATTGGTCCGCGGTGAGTGACTTCAATCATGGCAAACGCAATTTCGTACCATATGAATATGCCAAGGTTATGTGATGCCCATCGTGGATGTCTTGACTTGCAATCTGCACACAATTCTACAAGCGTCGAGAGGCGAAGAGGCGGGAGCCAAATCAGTACTCCGTAATATATGTCACATAGGGCTAAGTGCTTCTGCGATGGACTGCTTGGTAGCACCGACCTGCCAAACAAGCGCTACGGCCCACATCCCGACTCAGCACAGTGGACCCCATAGCCCAGCAAGCGGAACAAGGACCGTTGCCTGTAGATGACGAATGGCTCGGTGACAGCACTTACCATTCCCTGGCTTTGCTGCCAGCTCCATCAGTGTCTTCTGGTTCCGCTCCGCCGCAACCTTGCTCACAGCTGCGGACATTGTAGCGAATCAAAAGGTGAAGATGTGGTCGGTGTCGTAGGCTTGAAGGCGCTGATGGGAGTGTGGGTCAAGCCTACGTATTGGCCCTGTATAAGCGATACAGCCGCTGCCACCGTGACCCGGTGCGGTTCGGGCCTTGGGATTCGGGAGGAGTTGTTGACACCAGGATCTTATCTAATCTAGACCCGCTCCGCGAGCCGGCGCTTCTCCAGGTCACTTGAACCCTTCACATCACCATTCACCGACACTATTGAGAGCAACATCGAGCATGACGACAGATGTATCCCAGGCTGACCCACTGAACTTGTACACCACGCACTCCTTCACGGACGATCAGGCATATCAAGTGAGCAGACCACTGCAGCTCGACGACTTGAATGATGCAAGCTGAGCTGCCTAAGCAAGGCTGGCCTGTCCTCACTAGTCTCGGGCGGCGCACTGGATGGGCTTTCTGACGAGGATAAGGAAGACCTCCTGAGGAGATCAAGGGTCTTTTTCTTCAACCAGTGAGCACGATCGTTGGCCCCTATGTTCCTTGAGCTAGAGCACGTATCCTCGCACAGAACATATGGACACAGCATCTCC